CAATAGGCCATACTGTGAAGATTTGCTGTCAGTTAAAATCCTTCCAGGAACTTGATGCCGAAGTTTTAAGAATTGCCAGAGTGTTTAAAAAGCAGGTTAAAATATTGCAATTCAGGAAATCTAGGGTGAATGCCTTGTATCTATGTTTTTAAACAGGAGGTCGAGCAAATAGTCTTCAGGGAGTTGTAGGGTCATAGTCTGAGAAACCCAGTGACCAGCTGTAGACAGAACTCAAGGCAGGTGATTTACCTCCGTGTATGTCTGTCACCTGTTGTCTCAGTAGAATACTGCTGATGACACATTAGCAGGTAGATGGGTGAATGGATGGGTGAAAATATGGGCTGGAGGAGGAGATGGGTGGACAGACGGTCAATAAATGAATGGATAACTGGGTGAATAAGATGGATAAATGGATGGGTGGCTACATGGATGGACAGGTGTAGAGATGGAAGGGTGGGTAGGTAGATGGGTGAATAGATGGATAGATATGTGGCCAGGCAGAAGTGTGGATGGATGGATAAATGAGCAGATGTGTATATGGTTGGGCAGATGGACAGATCTGTGGATGGAAGGATGGATGCAGAAAATCAGTCTTTTTGCAACTAGACTGTTTGCAAGCCATGAGTTGAGCTATGAACAAACTGTGAAAGTCATCTGTGTTTTCCTAAGCTTTAAAGAACATTTTTTACATGTCTTAAATAAGAATCAGTAAGACCTTGCCTAAATAAGAAATACTCAGTCACTGTTCTTTGATTTCAAAAGTCATCACAACAAAATCTGCGCACCCTGATTATCTCATTGTTTCTGCAACTAGCTCATTGCGTGGTTCACCCTGCTCAGTGCGTGCACACAAGTCAAAGTGTGTTTACATCACAAATAAACTGCCATCTGAGCCTGCACACTGAATTGGGATTTGAATCATGCTAAATGGGTCTTGGAATTTGGCTGTTGTGGCTAATAAGACCATTCAAAGGATGTTTCCATATATCTTCATAACAAATGTAAACATGATTAGCTCTTATTCAGAAACAATTTGGTTGTAAAATCCAGTGATTTCTAAACGTGTCCCCCATTTTTAGAAACTCCAGTTTTTGGAATTCATCAATTCAGAACCATCCATTGCAAAAATGATTCTTGAAGAGCAGGAGCTCTTTATACAGCGGGTTCTAGAATGCCTCTGACATGGTCCTCACAGAGATCAGAGAGGCCCAGCCCATCACCCCTCACCTGTGTGTGAGATTGCTTTCCTTCTGCCCACCATGCCCCTGCGAGCCTCATGAGAAGGCTCATCTTTCTCCCTGTTTCCCAAACACTGGCTGCCGAATGCTGCTCCAAGGTTTCTTCCATTTCTCTGAATCACCTGCTAGCATCCCATTGTGCTAAATGCCTCAGTTTGTGGCAGGAAGGCAGTGGTTCCACAGGCTGGTGCATGAGCCTGAGAAGGTGGCAGAGAGATAAGGGTTCCTACTCTAGCAGGCATTTCTTCTTGTTACACAGGGACAGAAACCTTTGCAACCCACTTATGTTCAGAGGTGTTCCTCATGGACCAGACATTTCTATAGCCGCACACCCTCTGAAGACCACAGGAGTTCTCTGTAGAAAGATCATAGGGCTCGCAGGTGCCCAAGGGGCCTCATGCGAGGGGGAACACCCTCTGGATGTCTTCCAGGACATCCAGTCAATTACTGTGCTATTCACTGACTATTTGCAGGGGCTGCCCTTTCTAGCCTGTCTGTCAGCTGCCTTGTTCTCATCCCCACCAGCCTACGGCAGAGCAGCGGACAGGAGCATGGGGATTGCAGACAGGTCAGATGCTTGTTGAGATTGTGGAGTTTCTCAAGGCACCAAGATGCTCCTCTATGCTCAGCTGACCTGGAGAGGGATGGGAAGCTGACTCCTTGGTGTGTGTGCTCCGCGGCTGGCAGTTGTGTGCCTGTGCAGGTGTGGGTGTGCACGCCTCTTCACAGTGGCTCTATCTAGGCAGCCCAGGGGCTGGGGGTTTCATGTAGGACCGATCCTCTCAGGGGGAACTGGGTCTGAGGTGCTGGCATCAGCAGAACACTCGGATTCTCTGAATGGTCAGTCAGGGGCATACCATGACCCCCAGTCCACAGCAGTTATGCCCTGTGCTCGCCTCCCTAGTCTCCTGATTGATGTCAGGGTGCCAGAATGGGAGCTGCTGGCACTGTTCTTCATTCGGTCTTCCTAATATCTGCACTTGCACTTGCTGACAGTTGTGTGTTACTTCCTGTTCTGAACATCCGAGTGAGGGAACACCCACCCTCTACCAACCTGACCCAAGAGCATCTGTGAGCATCTGTTTGAGAGGAGAACTGCTGAGGCACCCTCGCCATCAGACCCAGACATGTGCCCTCACCTGTGGGGCACGCCATCAGACCTGGATGTGCCATCAGACCTGAACATGCCATCAGACCCAGACATGTGCCCTCACCCATGAGGCATGCCATCATACCTGCATGTGCCATCATACCCAGATACACGCCTCACCCATGGGGCATGCCATCAGACCCAGAAATGTGCCCTCACTTGCAGGGCACATCACTGAACCCAGACATGCCATCAGACCTGGACACACCATCAACCCGGATGTGCAATCTGACCCAAATATGTGCCCATGTGCAGTGGCTGGGAGTGGCCGGGAGTGGCCGCTCACAAGCCCACACTTGCCTGCCTTATGTGAGTCTCACTGTCTCATGGGTGCTCCGACCTCCTGGCCCTGGTCATAGCACTTGGTCACTAACATCCTCTCTGCAGACAGACTTTTTACCGTCCTGTCCCCACTTCCAGATCCATGCCAGAGGGGTGTAGGGAGGCCTCTCTCTCCTCCTGCTCTCTCCTTCTGCCACTCTTCTGTGGCCCAAGGGCAGGTCCCTGGCCTGCCAGCTCCATGACCTGTGGGGGAATCCGCACCCTAGGAAGATGCTGGGCTCCCTCGGGAGCTCGTCAGCTGCGGGCGTCCTGCTGGCCCAGCTTCTGTCCATCCTCCTCAGCTCTCAGCATCCCTCCTGCACCGAGTAGCAGGACTACACGCGGCCACCCCCACCTGCCCCCAGCCAGCCTTCGCAAGGCCCGCTTTGCCCTCTGGAAGGGAACACCTCTTTTCGGGAGGCAGGTGTGGGCCGCAGTCCCTCACTGACTCTCGTTTGGGGGCCTGCCTGGACTTTCTGTCCCTCTTGGCTGAGCTCCCCTTCCTGACTCTGCCTCTGCAGCTCCTCTGAGAGCCTGGAACTCGGGAGAGAAGACAAACAGCAGAAACCTGGGTGTGGGAGGACAGGCAGAGGGGGGCTCCAGTGACCAGCCTCACCACAGCTCTGTCCTGGGCTGCAGGATGCCCCTCAGCTGCTGGGGCCAGGTGGGGGTGGCCCTGGCTGAACAGGCAGTTGGCACAGAGGACACAGATCTCTCTGGGCTCGTGGAGGGTTGTGAGTCTGCCCTCTGAATGGCGTCTGTTCAGTGGGGGCACCTCGTTCACATTTGTCCTGGCAGTCTCAGTTGACTCTGGGTCCTGGTCATGAGGGAGAACTGTGTGTCCGGACAGCGGGGGAGGTGTGGGGCAGTGGGCCAGGCGGCCGCAGGCAGCTGGGGTCACCTTGATGAGCAGAAGGAAGGCTCTGTGCAAACAGCCCATTAGCGTCCTGCCGGGCGGCTGCGGGCCTTCAGGAAGAGAGCCAGGCCCTGGCTAATTCCGCAGCTAATTCTGGGGGCGCATCCCAGAAAATGGGGTCACGTCTGGAGCTCTGATTCAAATCTACTAGAAAATGCTGAAACTTGAAAATGCCGTTCACGGCCATTAGCTTGGCCCCTCCTGGTGTCTCCCAGCAGCGAGTGGGAGATTCAGGGCGCATCCCGGGGCACCCCTCCCTGCTCCAACGGACGCAAGGCTTCTTGGGAATGAGTACCCAGTCCTGTGTGCTCACACACAGCGAACAAGCATGAGGTCTGCACCCATGTGTCTGCACCCCCAACCACTCTGTCTACACCTGCCATATCCTGCCCCTGAGCTACTCTGTCTACACCTCAGTACACCCTCAGCCACTTTGTGCCGTGCAGACAATGTTCAGTGTAGATGTGAGTGGGCCCTTCTAGACCCCTGAAGTTCCAGCATTATACAGCTCCTGGGCCCGGCTGTTCCTCATGTTGGGGATGGTGATGGGGAAATAGCCCATTTGGGGGTGCTGTGCTCTGGAGTCCTGGGTGTGGGACCTGGAGCACCTTGCTCTGGGTTCAGAGGAGCAGACCTCTGAGGAAAGCCTGCTGTGTAGACAGAGGGACAGAGTTGAGCCCGAGCACAGGCAGAGTCTATAGGGTTCCCTTGGATTCAAAGCACAGGATGGGGATGCAATGGAACTGCTCTGGGCCTGCCCTGCCCCTGCCCTGCCCCTGGCCAACACTGCCCTGTCCAATGTCATGTTCCTGACTCAGCACCACCACAGGGTTTCTCTCACCTGTGCCCGTGGCCTAGGCAGGTGGCTGGGGACTGTCCAGCCGCGCTGGGCCCAGCAGGTCCAGTGTGTGGCACAGCAGCCCCACCTATGGACCCAATTAGCTTTGTCCAGCCCATGTCTGGACAGCTTCTCCACTGCATGGTGCCCACCCCGGGTGCTCCTGAGTCGTGGGCCAGTGGGGTTCCTGGGGACGAAGGGAGAGTCTGGAAGAACCATCCCCCTCCATCCTGGCTGTGCAGACAGCAGAAACCTGGTGCTGCTGCCTCCCCATGACACGCAGGAGCCGGGGCCCAGAAGGGTGATGAGGCCAAAGGGCCTCGCCGGGCTACCATGGACCGTGTCTACTTGGACACGGAACCAACAGGGCCTTGCTCCTTGCTCCCGTGCTACACTCTGACTTCCTGTGGATGTCCAGCCCCTCTCCCTGACTGCCAGGCTGTATCCTTCCCCTCCCCCCAGCTGAAAATGCTCTCATCAGCCAGACAGGGAATAGGGGCTGCGGGGCCACTTGGGGGTCTGCATGTGCCAGCTCACCTGCGGCAGGAGGCAGCCTTTACTTCTGCAGGGGCCGGGGCCGGGCAGACGAATGTTGAAGAGGGCATGCAGGGCGGCCTGTGCTGCCTGGCCCCTGGCCAGCTTCTTGCTGCGTCCTGAGCCTTCAAACGTACTCCCGTCCACGCACACAGCCATGACAAAGCTCCGGGGCCGCTGCCGCGGGGCTGTCTGTGACAGGCACACATAGCGCAGGCCAGAGCGCAGCTGACTCAGTACCACCACGGGGTTCCTCTCGCCTGTGCCCATGCCCCAGGCAGGTGGCCGAGGCCTTTCTGGCCGCGCTGGGCCCAGCAGGTCCAGCGTGTGGCACAGCAGCCGACTCCGCGGGCATGTCGTGGGCAGCAGCTCGGGGGCAGTGGCGCGGTGGCCCGGGAGGTTGCTGCCGGGCTCTGAGGGCTCAAACTCCTTGAAGAGTGTGTCCGGGAAGTCAGCCTGGTCAGAGGTGAAGTCGGGGCAGGAGCTGGTCCCGCTGCCCAGTGCCAACTGTGCCTGGCAGGCATTGGGGAACTGCACGAAGGACTTGAGGGCCAGCTCTGCTGCCCGCATCTTGGCTTTCTTCTTGGTAGGCCCCGTGCCTTCGAATGTCAGCCCGTTCACCTCCACGGCCACGGCGAAGATGGGTGCGTGCACAGGGCCAGTCTGTGACACCGTGCGGTACTGCAGCCCCGGCTGCAGCTCGTGCAGCTGCACCAGTGCATTCTTGGGTGCCACGGACCATGAGAGCCGCTTCCAGAGCAGCTGCAGCTGGCATACATGGCCGCTGTTGCCCTCTTCCAGTGGCCGCTTCCTCTTGAGCCCCGGCACCCCTCCGCAGGCCCGCTCGCTGGACGCCAGGCTGTTCACGTTCCGGTTCTCTTTCACCTCTGCACTGCTTGTACCTGGAGGTGAGAATGGATGGTCAGGAAGGCACAGGAAGTCTGCTGACCCAGGGTCCCAGGCTGAGCTCTGGGTGCTCCAGTCTGCCTCTGAGGGAGGAGGGCGGCCAAGCCAGTCTACCTGCATGAGCACACATACATGCCTACCCACACATGTGCACATACATGCACACCCACATGTAAGCACACACATGCATACCCACATATTTGCACCCCCACACAAATGTACACACATGCATACCCACATGCATGCACACACATGCAAACCCACATGTATGCACAAGCACACCCACACACATGCACACACATAAAAACACACACGCATACCCACACATTAGCACCCCTACATGTATGCACACACATGCATACCCACATATATGCACACCACACACATGTATGCACACACATGGGTACCCACACACATGCACACATACCAACATGTGCACACATTCATATTCACATGTATGCACACATCCACGTGTATGCATATACATGCATACAGACATGTATGCACACATATCCACACATATTCACACATATGCATGCCCACACATGCACACACATACATACCCACACATATGCACACACATACATACCTACATGTATACACACATATTCAGACCCACACAAACACATAATACACCCACACATGCACACACATGCACCCCTAGTGACGCGCCCCTTTCTCCCGTTTCACCTGGGGGCGTGGGGGGGGTGTCACAGTGCAGTGGGGAGGGACCAAAACCCCAGCATAGGTTTGAACAGGGCAGGGAAACAGGGCTTCTATGTTGAGTTTCCGCCTACACACGAAGGGACTACCGATGCCCTGAGAGGAAATGGGAGTTTCTGCTGCTCATTCCTTTGCCATGGCATGAACACTCACTGGTGGCTCTCAGCTCTCAGTGCTGCCCAGAGCCCGGGTATGGCCACGGTGCCAGCTTTGCCAGGACTGGGCCAGGATCTTACAGACACCATGTCACCTCTGGTATGGGCTGACAAAGGGTGTGGGGCCCAAAGCATCATGACTGGGTGAATCACGGCCCAGAGGACAGTTGAGCAGTCAGTGTCCTGTGCTCTGAGAGACAAAGGCCCATTGCTGTCCCCTCTATCCTCTGACGACTCATAGATCTGATGTAGCTTCAGGTGGGGACTTCTGGGAAGCTGCTTCCAGAGCAGCTGCAGCTGGCATACATGGCGCTGTTGCCCTCTTCCAGTGGCCTCTTCCAGGGGGCGCAGGGAAGGCACCATTGCTGGATGTTCACTGCACAGAGACTGTGGGAGGAGGATGGGAAGCCCAGGGCACTTCCCACACCCCTAAATGCAGCAACAGCAGTCCCCACCTGCAGGGCCTCTTTCTGGGAAAGAGGGTCCCGATAACCCCCAACCCTCGCTACCATCCACAAATCCTCCTGCAGGGTCTTCAGTACACCCAGACACTCCTGAACAAGTGCCCTGCTCTCAGCCAGTGCCAAGCACCTCTTCTGAGACTGCCCTGGCTAGGACACTGCAGAGCAAAGGGGTGCATAGCCTGAGTCACTCCCCCCACACAGGCTCCATTCCCCCACAGACTCCATCCTCTGATAGGTTCCATCCCCCACTGGCTCCAACCCCCACAGGTTTCATCCCCCCCCAGGCTCCATCCTTCCAGACTCTATTCCCCCACAGCCTCCACCCCCTACACAAGCTCCATCTCCCACAGGCGCCATCCCCCACAGGCTCCATCTCCCACACAAGCTCCATCCTCCATAGACTCCAACCCCCCCACAAACTCCATCCCCCTTAGTCTCCATTCCCCACAGGCTCCATCCCCCACAGACTCCATCCCCCACACAAGCTCCATCCTCCATAGACTCCAACCCCCCACAAGCTCCATCCCCCTTAGTCTCCATTCCCCACAGGCTCCATCCCCCACAGACTCCATCCCCCACACAAGCTCCATCCCTCACACAAGCTCCATCCCCCACAGGCTCCATCCCCCACAGTCTCCACCCCCTACACAAGCTCCACCCCCCACAGGCTCCATCCCCTAGTCTCCATCCCCCCACATTCTCCATCCCCTACACAAGCTCCATCCCCCACAGGCTCCATCCCACACACAAACTCCATCCCCCCCACTCCATCCCCTACACAAGCTCCATCCCCCACACAAGTTCCATCCCTCACAGGCTCCATCCCCCACAGTCTTCATCCCCCACACAAGCTCCATCCTCCCACATAAGCTCCATACCCCACAGTCTCCATCCCCTACACAAGTTTCACCCCCCACATTCTCCATCCCCCACAGGCTCCATCCCCCACAGTCTCCATCCCCTATACAAGCTTCATCCCCCACAGGCTCCATCCCCCACACAAGCTCCATCCCCCACACAAGCTCCATCCCCCACACAAGTCCCATCCCTCACAGGCTCCATCCCCTACACAAGCTCCATCCCCCACAGGCTCCATCCCCCACAGGCTCCACCCTCCCAACACAGTCTTGGTTCTTCCCCCAGGAGGACAGAGTGGGTCCCTTGACAAGTCAACTCTCTCCTGTGTGCCCACCCAGCTGGGGTGACTGTCTCCTCAGGGGTGTCAGCCCCCTCCCCAAAGCTGCTCTAAGCCCTGTCCACACTTCCATGTGGCTCCACCCCCCGGGAACAGCCATGTCTAGCAAGCATAGCTCTGTGTGCCTTCCTTCTTTTTCCTGGCATACAGAGGGGAGAAAGTGGGGCTGGCTCCTACTGTCCCCCCCAAAGCTCAAATCTGTGTTGCCTTCCTTTATCCCAGGTGGGGACAGCAGATGGGGGGATGGGGATGGGGTTCGGGTGGGGATGAGGTCTGGGTAGGAACAGGGTCCATGCAGAGACGGGGTCTGGGTGAGGTTGGGCCCAGATGCCATGTGGGGGTGTGGATGGGTCCGGGGGCTCGGGACCCGGGTGGGGTCTGGGTGAGGTTGGGCCCAGATGCCATGTGGGGGTGTGGATGGGTCCGGGGGCTCGGGACCCGGGTGGGGTTAGTGTTCTGGTGAGGGGGTGAATGAAGTCTTGGCCCAGCACGCCTGTATAGTCTCCTGCTTCCTTCTCCATGCAGTCTGGCTAGGGGCTCTCAGGGCCCCCTGGACACTTACTGAGACTGTCCTCATCCTCAGCGTGCGTGGCTGTGGGGCTGAGGTGCTTGAAGGGCGAGATGAAGGTGGACAGCGAGCCGAGTCGGTCTGCAGGAGAGAGAACAGAAATGCTTGGACAAGCCACAGTATGCCCACCTGCATGTCCCCAGGCCCCATCCATCATCCATCCGTGCACTGCAAACCTGAGTGCCTCCCCACCTCGCTCAGCCCCACAACCCAGCTCTCCTTCTTTCCTTGTTTGCCTCTCCTTTCTTCTGGTGCATCTCTTCTGGATTGGAGGTTCGAGCAGGTGGGCAGAATCAGGCAGAGTCGGACAGGCGCCCCCAGGGAGAGGCTTGTATAGGATAGAGTGGACACTGGGCCTGAGGTGCTGAGGAAAGGACTTTCCGAGGCCATAACAGGTGCCTGGTGGGTGTTTGGGCAGAGAAGGGGGGAGGATGGGGGGAGGGTGCTGGACCAGGGTGGCTTTCCTGGGACTTGGACAGGGGTGCTCAGGCCGAGTGCAGGCATACCCCCTGCACTGGGTCCCTGTGACAACAGCAGGAGGCACTGCTTCCTGCCCTAACCCCAGCGCAAACAGAAGGGGCGATCTGGGGTACATCCTTGCTGACTCTGAGGGAAGCTGTGTGGTGCCTGTAGAGTGGGTCTGGGCTTGGTGTCCTCTGCAGAGCCCAGGTGCTGCATGTTGCAAATAATAATTCGGGCAACCAATCTCGTCCCAGACTAAATTCAGCCTGGGAGGGAGGAATCTTGTCCCAGGGCAGGGAGGTGCTCCCTGGGCCCCTCACTGCTGTGGCCCCGTGCCTCCTGGTCACCTACAGAGAGCACAGTTCCACATTGTGCTTTGGGGGTCTCTGGCTGGCCACTCCCTTGAGGGCATAGCTTCTGCCCGCTAGCCCCTTGCCTTCTCACCAGAGCTCATTTCTCTCCACCTGAGCGAGACAGATCATGTGGGACGCAGCAGGGACTGACTCAGCTGCTCCTACAGCCTAGCCAGCATCTCCAGGGCAGCCACAACTGTGCACTAGTGGGGGCGGGTGAGGGGGCGCCTGGCTGCTACCTGGCGGGGGTACCACAGGCGGTCGGCCCCACCTGATGTAAGCTCATTTCTGATGTAAGAATGTTGTCCTTGGCCTGATGACAATCGTTTTACAGGGGAGCAGTTAGGTGACAGAGTCCAGCTCACCCCTCAATAGGAAATCGCTGTTTTCTAATAAAAGCAGGCTGCGGGCCAGACCTGTGGCCAGGCGGCTGTGCTGTCCACACATCTCTGCAAGGGGCGAGGTTCCGGGCAGAGGTCTGAGGCCCCCCACATGTGTCCTTCTAGGCCTGCCAGGTAAGCACTGTACCATAGGAGCCCCAAGACCCATTAGCAACCCCAGCAGGCCCTGGTCGTTTGCAGTGGGCACAGCCACCCAGGGCACAACCACATCAGGCTAGGGAACATTGATCATGGGTTCTCTGGAACACAGGAGTGTACTAAGACATTTTTCTAAGGATACATAGAGGAGTGACCTGTGCCTGCTGGGCTGCTGGTTCGGAGACAGAGGCCAGCAGGACACCACAGCATGGGCAGATAAGCGAGCGGAAGGCAGGGCTTGGTGGGTCCTGAGACAGAGTGGTTCCTGGCAAAGCAGAGAGGGTCAGCACATGGTCCAGAACCCCCATTTCTGGGCTCGCACAAGGCACACATGCCACGTTCAAGTTGCCTCCCATGAACCACAGGTGGAAGTGACACAGCTGGGTGGGTAGGGTGCGAGGTCTGGCCACCCATAGACAAAGGAGAGGTCACAAAGCCTTGGCAGGGGCAGGGGGCTCTGCCGACTCACTCACTGGGAGTGGCCCTGGGCGGCAGGTGAGTGGTGGGGACAGTCTGAACCTGGAGGTTGAGAATGTCTGTGGGACGGTGCAGTGACATCACCTCACAGAACCCAGGGGCATTGCTTCTTGCTCCTTCCCCGGGACAGGAGTGGCCTGGGCCCGAGGGGAGGAGGAGTCCCCCAGGACCACGTGAACGCAGCTGGCTAGGGCAGCTGCCTCTGGGAGGTGCTCGCTGTGGTCTCCTGGGGTGCCGTCTGAGAGCGCTCCGGGACTTCCATGCCCTGTGGCTCAGAGAGCACAAGGATGTGTCACCAGAGCACACTCCAGTGAGCCTGGCAAATGAGGGACAGACAGTACAGAGCTGAGCGTGGACCTGGCTGACCCCACCAAGGGTAGAAGCCTAGTGAGGAGAGACACCGCGCTAGAGATGGAGAAAGTCATGCCCCTTCCCGGGCCCCCGTCGGAGCCCTCCTACTCGGCCCTGTCTGGGGCAGGGCAGCATTTGCTCACAGCTTCTCCTCAGCTGCTTCAGCAGGACCTGGGGTGCCCACAGCCCCTGGCCTGCTCTGTGCAGTCAGCTAGGCCCCCGATCTTCTCAGACCCCCGGTCAGACCGGGCTATAGCACAGGGGCCATGGAGCTGAGGTCCCTTCACCAGGGGCTCTCCCAGCACCACCAAATCTAGAGTGTCCCGGGAGGGAATGGTTGGCAGGTTCTGACAAATGTGCCTATCAGCTGGCCATGCCGAGGAGCAGCGGCTCATAGGGACAAAACGCTGGGCCCCTGAATGCCGACCACAAGGAGGGACACCTTGATGGCAGCAGACAAACGTGGACACCGACACACATGCACACATACCACTTGTGTGACACAATGCACACACATACATGCACTCACACAGTGCAACACAATGCACACATGTATGTGCACATGAACACAATCACAAATAAAGACACAGGCACACACACACACACACACACACATCGAGACTATGCTCTCCCTGCCCCTGGATTTTCTATCCCTCTTTCTCTGGGCAGAAGTCCAGCCCCTTCCCTGGACAGCCTCCTTGCTGGGCTCCATTCACCCCTGGGTCCTGGCAGGGAGCTGAGCCCAGAGCACAGGAGGACAGGGTGTCAAAGGCGGGTCTGGACCCTCAGAAGTCGGGCACCTTTGGCCCATACAGAACCAGTGTCTGGAGGCTGAAGCCTCACATTCACAGCCAGTTGGGGGGGGGTCGAGCCACGTGAGCCCAGACCAAGTGGGGGTAGGGGTGCTACATCAGGTGAGCCCAGAGCCCGGGGGGCAGGGGAGGGCTATGCCAGGTGCTGGGAGCTGCTGATGCAGGATGAACCCTCCTCCCTTCTTCTGTCGAGAGGCTGCTGGAAGGCGTCTGTCCTCTGCTTCTGTCACCACCCCTGCACCTGCTCACAACATGCCCCTTGCTCTGTGACGTCACAGGGAGAGAGCACTGTGTCTGGGCAGGAGATCCAGGAGTCCTGAAAGATGAATCAAAGTGACTCTTCTAAGTCCTGGACTAGAAATCAGTGTCTCTCTGGACACCATCCAAGTGTAAAATGCAGCACAAATTGCCTTTAAAAATTAATAATTCACAAAATCTATGGGCTAAGCCTCGTCTGGCTTGAGAAGATAAGTAAAATAAATACTGTAAAGTCAATTTTTAATAATCTGTGGCATGGAATTTAAGCACAAGAGAAAACATTCTGCAATTAGGCAGGACCCTTGGGCACATGGTTAAGTGTGAAGAATAATATTTAGGAGCCGCCTCCCTCTCCCCTAGCAGCGAACATCGTTCAAAGTTCTGCTGGCGCTCAGCGGTGCCCCTCGTCCTGTCAGCAGGCCTGCCCAGGGCGTGGTCTGAGCCGACCTCACTGCGTGGGATGGACACCACAGCTGTGTGATGGGGCTGTCAGAGCGTCCAGTCAGGGGAAATAAGGCAATTAGACCCGTCGGCTGGCTGTGACGGCTGCACATCCATCTCATCAGTGCGGGCGGTGGTGCGTTTGCATGGGAGGGGTTTGGTCTGGAGGGTTCCACATGGCCTGAGGCTATCTCACCAGGAGGAGTCAAGCCATGGTGCAGGATGCTGGGTCCTGGCTCCCAGAACGAGGAGTGAGTGCCCGACTGAGAGTGAGAATGCGGCATGGGTGGCTGGATGGCACCTCTCCTGGCGCCAAGAACCCTGGGGGCCTGAGAGAGGAGGGGTTGGTCACCCCCAAGGGCCATGAGGCCGGGCGGGGACACATGAGGCCTTTGAACGTGCCAGTTCCGGTGTGGCCTCCAGTCCAGGAGTGAGGTGTGAGGAGGGTGACACGGACGGTGAGGGGACAGAGGGGGAGCGATAGGAGAGGAGCTAGGGGACGAGGGAGGAGGGTCTGGAGAGGCCCAGAATGAGGCGTGCGGGAGGCTGTGGCAGGGCCCGGCTGGGAGCAGCTGCAGAGCATGGGGAGCAGGGCACACCCCTGTTTGGGTCTCAGTCCTGACAGTGCCCTAGGCCCCAGGCTCACCTGGCTCCCTACCCCTGGGCACTGAGTTGGTTGCCAGGGTCTCCTCGGGGCACCACGAGGTCCAGGATACTCAGGACAGCAGGGACTGCTCGTGCCTGTCTTCTAGCCTCACGGGGCTCAGAGAGTCCGCCCTCTCGGGGGCTCTGGAAGATGGTGGGTCCAGGCCTCTCCTCTACAACGTCTGCGGGTTACGCTGCCCTCCTGTGGGTTGCAGTGAGGCAAGCTGGCACACTGTGAGGTCTGGATGGAGCAAGTGCTGTGAAGCACAGAGGCATTCCCTCTGCACTGTGCCCAGTGAGCCCGGACAGGCGACAGGGCCGGGCCGCCCGCGCCAGGGATGCTGCCTTTGTGTTTGTGCGTGGGCACCTGGAGACGGGAAGTGGGGATGGCGCCTGCGAGGCACAGATGGGCCCAGGCACGGCCTCATCGCGGTTCCATCTGACGGAGCCCCGCACATCTGCTCCGCTACGGAAAGCATCTTTGCTCTAATTTGTTTGTCAGTATCCATCGAGACGGCGATCTGTCATCCTGTCGTGTTCTGGTTGCCCCGAGATGTTTGAAGACCGGGCTAGCCACAAATCGGAACTGTGGCCGCCGGGGAGCGGGACGGTGAAGCGCCAGCTGTCGGCAGGAACATCCGCGCTATTTCTCAAGTTGAAATTCCGACCTCGCCCTCACAGGCCGGAGCAGCTGCATGGAGGAAACTAATTGCTGGGATGGGAGCGGGCACTGCTCACGTGTG